ATGTCTAAATCATCAGAAGCGTTGCCGTCTGACAATCATGAGAAGGTCTCGAAGGTTTCTCAAGATGCAGGGGTTGGAGTTGAGAAAGTTGCAGAGAAGGAATCAGTGTCAGTTGTTGTAAAGGGCCTGAAACAAAGTGTTCCTAGGGTTAGGGAACCTGAAGCCAGATCTGCAACGGAGCACCCATCATCTTCCAATGCATCTGCAACTCGGATACCGGCACCTGCCGGCCTTGGTCGTGCTGCCCCACTATTGGAACCGGCTCCCCGAGTGGTTCAGCAGCCTCGTGTAAATGGAACAGCATCTCCTGCACAAAACCAGCTTGTTGAAGAATCTACAAATGGAGAGGCTGATGAATATGATGAGACACGTGAGAAGCTCCAGATGATAAGAGTCAAGTTTTTGCGTCTAGCTCATAGGAATGGACAGACTCCACATAATGTGGTTGTTGCCCAAGTCTTGTATAGATTGGGATTGGCTGAACAGCTGCGGGGGAGAAGTGGAGGTCGTGTTGGTGCTTTTAGTTTTGATCGTGCAAGTGCTATGGCTGAGCAACTTGAGGCAGCTGGACAAGAACCCCTGGACTTCTCTTGTACAATAATGGTTCTTGGAAAAACTGGTGTTGGTAAAAGTGCAACCATAAATTCGATATTTGATGAAGTTAAGTTTGACACTGATGCTTTCCAGATAGGGACAAAAAAGGTTCAGGATGTTGTTGGCACTGTGCAGGGAATCAAGGTTCGGGTGATTGACACTCCTGGGCTTCTTCCTTCCTGGTCAGACCAGCGCCAGAATGAGAAGATCCTTCATTCTGTCAAAAGGTTTATTAAGAAGACACCCCCAGATATTGTTCTGTATCTTGACAGGTTGGATATGCAGAGCAGAGATAATGGTGATATGCCATTGTTGAGGACAATTACTGAAATTTTTGGACCATCAATATGGTTTAATGCCATAGTTGTTCTGACACATGCTGCGTCTGCTCCACCTGAAGGCCCCAATGGTACTGTAACAAGCTATGACATGTTTGTAACTCAGCGCTCTCATGTTGTCCAGCAAGCAATACGTCAGGCTGCTGGAGATATGCGCCTTATGAATCCTGTTTCGCTAGTTGAGAATCACTCAGCATGCAGGACTAACAGGGCTGGACAGAGGGTGCTGCCTAATGGACAGGTTTGGAGGCCTCACTTGTTACTTCTGTCATTTGCATCAAAAATTTTGGCTGAAGCAAATACATTGCTTAAATTACAAGATAGTAGCGCACCAGGACAGCCTTATGCCACTAGAACAAGATCCCCTCCTTTACCTTTCCTATTGTCATCCCTTCTACAGTCAAGGCCACAGGTTAAACTACCAGCAGAGCAATTTGATGATGATGACGAGGCTTTAGATGATGATCTGGATGAGTCTTCAGAGTCGGAAGATGAATCAGAATATGATCAACTGCCACCTTTCAAGCGCTTGACCAAAGCACAGCTGGCAAAGTTGTCCAAAGAGCAGAAGAAGGCCTACAATGATGAGTTAGAATACAGGGAAAAGCTCTTTATGAAAAAGCAGTTGAAGGAAGAGAGGAAGAGGCGGAAGATGATGAAGAAAATGCAAGCTGCGGCTGAAAGTTTACCACCAACTGATCCCAGCGAAAATGTAGATGAAGAAACTGGTGGTGCATCATCAGTGCCAGTACCCATGCCAGACTTGGCGTTACCTGCTTCATTTGATTCTGATAATCCAACTCATAGATATCGATATCTGGATTCTTCAAATCAGTGGCTTGTGAGGCCTGTCCTAGAACCCAACGGTTGGGACCATGATGTTGGTTATGAGGGCATCAATGTAGAAAGATTGTTTGTTGTCAAAGACAAGATCCCTATATCTTTGTCCAGTCAGGTTTCAAAGGACAAAAAGGACACCAATCTTCAAATGGAAATTGCAAGTTCAGTAAAGCATGGGCATGGAAAAGCAACTTCTTTAGGTTTTGATATGCAGTCAGTTGGTAAAGACCTAGCTTATACTCTTCGCAGTGAGACCAGATTCTGCAATTATAGGAAGAATAAGGCGACAGCTGGTCTTTCAGTGACTCTCTTAGGTGACGTCATGACAGGTGGTGTGAAAATTGAGGACAGGTTGACTTTTAATAGACGGGGATCGTTGGTTGTGTCTGGGGGAGCCATGTTTGGCCGTGGTGATGCTGCTTATGGTGGTAGTTTGGAAGCGACGTTGCGAGACAAAGATTATCCTCTTGGTCGTTTCCTCTCAACCTTGGGGCTCTCGGTTATGGACTGGCATGGAGATCTTGCTATCGGATGCAATTCACAAACGCAGATACCTATTGGACGATACACAAACTTGATTGGCCGTGTCAACATTAACAATAAAGGGTCTGGACAAGTCAGTATCCGTTTGAACAGCTCAGAACAGCTTCAGATTGCTTTGATAAGCTTAATTCCACTTGTCAGAAAGCTGATTAGCTACTCTCAACCAGCACAATATGGATGATGATGAAACTAAGGCCAGACAGCGCACCATACAACCATTTGGTGACTTACAAATCACTTCTATAGTGGCCATTAGCTGATCGGCATCACTGAACGTGAGTACTCATTTTTTTTTTACCTAGTTTCTTTCTTAGCCTTAAAATGCATGCTGTTATTTCTCGTGAGCATTTTATGAAGTGGTTTTTGTAACTTTTTTTATGGGTAAAATACGTTATTTTGTTGGTATTACAGTTATTTTCTTCCATGACAGTGGTACTGCTTTCTAGTTTCAATAGCTTTTGGGTTATCTCCATCTGTTTGCATAGTTTCTCAACTGGGATCTGCTGTGGTTCTTGTTTTTCGTGTTTGACCACTAATGAATTGCATTTGTAGTCCTTGTACTTGCATTGTATATGTATTTTGACTTTATACTTGGCCTTCACTGTTATCGCACACTGTTTGGTTATAATCTTTGGTAAAAAACCTTAGGGTGCATCAAGATAATGATGCTGGAAAATTTTTTATGCAATAAAGAAAACTAGAAGGGGGAGAAAATGGAAAAACCCTTTTACCTGTTTCTGTTCCCATAAGAGTGGATGACGTGATCTGTTTGCCGCTTCAAAATTTCTACTCTCATGTCCATAACCTCTGGTGCAATGATATATAGAAAGAATGCATGCCAAAAGTTAAAAGCATTTTTTATGTTTCTGTCTAAATACATCCTTTTCCAATCTGATGAAGAACCTCTGTTTTGATGTTCTATTTCAAAAAAAAGAACCTCTGTTTTGATGTTGGATAAATTCTACTGTTCAAATATTTACTCAATGTCTTACTCTATGTTGGAGAATGGTGAAGTTGATAATCAGAATTCCATCAGTGACCTAAAAATTTGTCCTACTGTGGTTAAGACTAGGTAGAGTTGATTGTAAAACAACTTGTCTTATACCTTGTAATGTAGACTTCTCATTTTGCTTTAGATATACCCGTATCAAATGACTGTGCAATGGGCAGAAGTTCTTTGTGGGCATACAAAGTATGCAAATAATTTGCTTTAAATTGATCAAGCCCAATTCCGTTTAGTAATGCTGCAGGGTTGTACTACCATTTTGTTCCTCTTCACACCAACCAATTCAGGTCTGCATCTAGTAATGCTGAACAATTAGACTACTGAGTGTTCATCTAGTTGGAGTGAGAGCTGGATTGATTTATATGAAGTTTGCTATTTACTGGAAAATGTTCCTATGCTTTTGAAGCATTATTTGCATTGTGTTCAAGGAAAAGTGATCTTGTATCTAAATGATGCTTCCCAATTAACAGCCATAATGCAGTTATATCTTCTTTAAAGATGCAATTAATTAGGTTTCCTGTTCTAGCATAGGAGGAAGCAGTAGTTCAGATTAAATTGCTGTGTATTTCAGCTTTAGCTGTATATTTGATTCCAAGTAGTTTGCAAGGTGGCATGTTGTTTCCATGTTGACAACTTCCATTGTTGATATAAACTAACAATGTGCAGATGCAATTTATTTTCTTGTGAAGAAAGGAAGGACTTGCACTGTCTGGCTTCGCTAGGAAAAGTGGTTTTCCAGATCATCCAAAGGCATGCCATTGTAGCCTAAGAAGAGTTTAGCTTACGCTCGTCTTCAATTTCCAATTTTGTTTATTATCATAATGCTGAGATTGGCTTTGCTTGTAAACTCTTTCGGGTTAATCCTCCTAGACTCAAACTTCAAGTCTTGTTTAGTTAGGTTTTTAAATGTTGATGATGAAAAATGGGTTAACATTATAGCAAGTAGAATTGGCTATTGCAAGTGCGGTTCTGTGGTCTTCTTCTTCTTCTTTATGTTTTCCTTAGTCTTGATATTGTTTTACGATATTCTGATGGCTAGAGTTTGTTTCCGAGTTGGATGGATGCTTGTTCTTGTATATTATTAACAAAACATAAAGGCCAAGTGGAAGAGCCAAAGCAGAATCATGATCATCTGCAGTCTCTTTACCAAACATAGTGGCCCTCAATTTCCCCATTGCCCATCAAATGGTCTTATCTTTTCTTTGATTGGAAGTACTGCTCAATAATTATTTTGATATGTTTATCGTTTTCCTATTGTTTTCTACGAATCCATGTGATCCTCAATGGACATCTTTTTTCGATTAGTGTAGAGATTAAACATTGTGCTGATCGAGTCTTCCATATCAACTAGTTTCTCTTCGTCGACTACTTCTTGGACCATATCTCTTCATTTGGTTGGCACGGTCATGGAAGTGTTTTGGTATATTATACACATATTTTTAACTTAAGAATACAACATTTAAAATGTTTCCGTATCTACTTTTTCAAAACTTTGTGCTTAATCAAATTAAGATACGTAAATTGAAATGGAGGAAGTAAAATACCGCATATGATGAATCTAGAGGGTAACCGGGGGATCATCCTTCGCCTAAGGTCGTCCCCTCTCATAAGTCAATAAAAACTTTGTTTTAATAAGTTTATCAATAAAGTAGTAGCGACTTTTACATCGAAACAAGAATTCAATAATGAATTATTATAAGATTATACTCAACAATAACAAGTTTATCATTAGAAAAATAAGTCTTCCCAGTAGCGACACCTTTAGCAAGCCGGAAAACACCGGATCCACCAATAATCGACAATTCTCTGTATTCTTGCGATTCCGCAACCCGGCCCATTACACTTACACTACTACCATTATAAGGCCCATTAGTGAACACAAAATTGAAGTCGAAAAATAAGGCCAACTCACTCAATGATGGCGATCCATGGATTCCCTGAGCTCGGCCCACTTGTTTCGAATTAGGATCCGGCCCAACAGTCAACGGGTTGTCGAACATTCTCAACATGCCAAAGAATGTGGGTGATTGAGCTGTAATGTTGGCTTGAGCAATTATAGGAGCTGTTTGGTTATCTCCTCCAAAAATTTCATGAAAGTAGAAGTGAAATTTGGTGGTTTTGGTGTTTGCATAAGGGAGATTTTTGAACCATTTTTCAACTGCTTTTGGGCTTTTATCTATGGCAGCTGCTGTGGCAATTGTTAATAATACTAAGCTTATTAATCGAATGACTATTTGCTTCTCCATTTTTCTCTTATTGGTAGGAATTGATTGGAATTTGGAAGAAAGAAAGATATATAAAGAGTAGTTGAATGTGATCTTAATTTTATTTGTACTATTGTATAAGCAAGTAGTCAGCCTCGTGGCTTCAACTACAAATCTCGACTAATAGCCGTTAACTTTTATTACTCTTTCTGTTTTTATTTTTATTTTTAAATGATCCACTTTGATTTAATACAGGGTTTAAAAATATATAAAAAAAAACTTTTTAATGTAGTTGTTAGTAGTCTTGTTCAACTTGTGTTTTTCTGTGAATGATCTTATTAAAATAAGTTTAAATCTATACATAAATAATAAATCGATGATTCTCTTAAATTGATTTTGTCAACGGTAAAGCAGTCTATTGCAGAATTAAATTTACTCTTCTACAAGAAATTGTTTTTTCTTCTTCTTTCTCTTTCTAGATGCATTTGCTTCTTTTCCACCTATTAACACAAATTGCTGATCATCCCCAACAAGCGAGACGAACGTGGAAAGGAAATACGACGATTTCGGACCCGTTGGGCCATAGATTTCCCAAGTAATATTTGGAGAAAAATTTGGCAAATAGTGTTTCGATTCTTTATTACTGACTTTTCGCGGTTGATTGCACCTCGCACCTTTAAGGAGTCGATCCTTGTGAGGAGGAGGACTCTTCTCTTGCTGTCAAAAGTGCTTACTCATGGTTTGTCCATACAATTTGTCATTATTTAACAAATATCCCAAATTTTCAAATACTAGTTTTTTCTAATATTTGGGCCAAATCTTATTATTGGAATCTTTTAAAAATTAAAATTTTACACCAAACTTTTATCTTTTACAAAAACACCCTCTATAGTAGTTGTTTGCGTTGTATTACATAATTTTTTACGTAAACACCAAAGTAGTGATGAAATATTCAATGAATATGAAAGTGATAATATGATTGTTGATGAAAATGATGAACAATCGGCTCAAGGTATTAAAGTCATGTGTTTTGTCTACTTCACGATGTATGAAATGATGCCTGTTGCACTCACTCCAAACTACCATATTGCTCCAGTGTCATGGACACTACTTGTTATTTGTTGAAACGTAGATCCAATTGACTTGTAATACAAACTTATGGTTAGTTTTGACCATTTTAAAAATTTATGGATATAAATCATATTTTTTTTTAAAAGTGAAATATGTTTCCCAAATACATGATGAAATTTCACCCAAATAATATTTGAAAATCTATGGCCAAACGCTAGTTTCATCTTTCTCGACATGTTACCTTACTATAAACTCGAGCCGTTCTATGATGATGCCAAGAATGAAATATTTGAATTGCCTGAATAATATCGGTTATTATAGAACTAAAAAGTTGCTTACAAAAAATAAGAAAAAATTCAAACATATGTGACAATTGTAACATTGTAGCCAACAATTGCATCACCATTAGAATTTGCCGAATTAGTTTGAGCAAGAGCATACCCACGGGCCAACCGAAAAAGCCCGGTCCCACCAACGATAGCCATCTCACGAACCGGGTTCATTGCCGGGTTCAAACTCAATAGGCTAAATGAACTCCCTTGATAGATACCATCTGTGAACCCATAACTAACCACCATGATAAGGCCCATATCAGTTTGACCAGCAGACCCATATAGTCCGCGGGCTCGACCTACTAGCTTTGAAGTTGGTTCAGGTCCAATAGTAAGTGGATCATCAATCATCAACAAAGCCCCAAATAAGGTACTCGAATTGTTAGTCCCTGCAGCTTGTGCAATTTGAACTGCACTTGGATTTGATCCACTGAGTTTGTCATGGAAGTAAAATTGAAGGGTTGTAACCACCTCTTTGCCTGTATCAACCCTCTTAGCCCATGACGTTTGGTCTTGGGCTTGAGCCACCCATGTAAATATGATCGCAAATATTACAAGCAGAACAACTTTACCCATGACCTCTCGTAGCTAATGTTGCAAAGAGAAAAGAAAAGAAAAAAAGACGAGATATAAGTTATCCGGTTACTAAGCACTTGTTGACTGTTGCAACACAAAATTAATCAAATAAGATATGATGAGGGATAGTGCTATTTATAAGCAGAGTTAAGGAGATTAGTTATAAATGACTGATTGGCATGTAAACAAATTAAGCAAACTGCCTTGCTAACTAATCTAGCCCCACATAAAAGTTGGTACAGTTTTTGTTGAATTCTTGAGAAAATAAAATAAAATGTAGAGTTTTCAGTAATGAGCATAAAGTCAAGTAAGGATTTTGCAGTTGTAGAACATTAAATCGTGCAATGTTTGCCCTAACCAAAAATAGGTGTAATTTTCAAAGAGTATTAACAACATAGGAGCAGGTGGGAGAAATCGGTTATTTCTATACTCACGCAAGAGATAATTAATCTTTTAGGATCTAATAAGATTTGTTTGGTTATGCTGCGTCAAATTTTATCTTACTCCTTGTTTTCCTTTTTTCTACAAAAATTGTAATACTAATTGAATTAATGTTGCTCTATTTAGAGGAACTAAAATCTTTATTGACATTTATATAAAAAAGTACTCCGATTAGTTATAAATATTCATATTTATTAATGTCGCAAAATATAATATATTGATAATTATATTATTGCCACCAAATCCTTTATTTGTTATAGTGCAAGCCTGATGTCTTGTACGAAATTATAATGAAGAAGAGTACTTAAGGTGTGACCAGAAGGTTAATAATGTAGGTTGAGCATTATGACTCTTAAGTTCAAATTCCAATATAGATAAAACACTAGATGATTTCTTTCCGATTGTTTTAGCCTTGAAGTGACATTATCACATGAAATTAGCTAAAATGCGCACAAACTGATTCAGTCACCATGATTAATTTTTTCTAAAAAAAGAATAGACAAATAAGAGTTGGTAATTGTGTGTGTTTAGTTCATCAAGTTTACCTACCCCTTAACTACTATATATTCCAAGTGTGGGCGTCAACAAAAGCATCCAAACTCAACAACAATTGAAATGACACACCAACCACGAGAGTGTCTCCTACTCAGAAATTAACAAAATTAGTACTACTGCATAAAAACATGATTCGTTTTAACTCATTCGATTGTGATGAATTATTGATCCACTTGCTTATTTGCCTCCATTAATTTTGATTCGTCCAGTTCAATTTATTTAAAAATTAAATTAATATATAATTCAAATTGATTTATGAGGAATTTAATTGGTACTTTAATTATTTTTTTATAGAACAACAAACAAAGAAATTAAAACTTATTTTTTCTGTCTCAATTTATGTGATGTAATTTACCCGTTCAAATTATATAGAAAAATTTTGCATTCCAAAACTACAGTTTAATATTTAATTAGGCATCAATTGCCATCACAAAAATTGGACGAAAGTAAGTATTTGTTCAAATCCTACTTTATTTTTTCAATTCGATTTGGTTCTTTTTCATTTTGTAATCATGATAGGTGTTGGTCCTAAGGGGTCTGATTTGATAATTTGACGAATAATATTTCGTAACGTCTCTGTTTATTAGTTCATCAATTTATTTACTCACCCCATGACTATGCTTAATTAAAGCATCCAAAATCAACCGTCATTAAGGGATCGTTTGGTACAAAGATGCATAATGCAGGGATTACTAATGCATGATTAGTAATGCAAGGATTAGTTTTTATCAAGTGTTTGGTTCATGTTTCCCATTTAATCTTATGTTTGGTTTAGAATTCTAGAAAAAATTTCTTTCCTATTATACCCTTGAGTTACTATGAGATTTTATATTTCATTTAATTTGTCAAATTAAATACTAAAATATATTTAAAATTTTTTGAGGTGTGATATGCCACCATAGAGATCCTTGATAATACGGTATATTAACCTTAAACTTAACATAGATTTAAGGCTACTTAAATTGTTCAAATACACAAAGCTTATTTTTTTTAAAAAATAGTTCAAGTGGTCAATCGACGAACTACATTTTAAGAAAAAACCCGAAAAAACCAACTCAATATAACAAATCAAACATGGAGAAAAAAATATTAATTTGTGAAATCATCAAATTACATGGAACGAATTTGGAGAATTTAAAAGAATATTTATAAATATTCTCATATAAATAAAAAAAAACATTAAATTACAAAAAAAAGAAAAAGGAAAAAGGGGATTTGTAATTTAGGGGTCTTATCCAAGGATTGTTAAACCTTGGATTAGTTATCCCTCCCTTTTCTAGTGATAAAATAAGACCTTGATTGAGGTATAACTAATCCATGGACTGGATTAAATAAAGTAACCAAACAATGCTTTTGTTGGACTAAATTTTAATCCATTGACTATTTTGATTAATACCTCCTACCAAACGGGTCCTAAAGGTAATAAAGCAAAGGAAAACTTCCTTTGTTGCTGGATTGAAGACTTCCCAAACAATAGACCACGGGAAAGCTGTCATGGTTCAAACTCGACAAAAATACTCTTTAATTATGATCTCTTTTTTTTCTTTTTAGATTGACATAATTATTACTATTAAATTGTATATTTATCGAATTATGAATATGTTAAGGGCAAATTTAGGAAAGAAATTAAATACCTTTTTGATTTTGTCAAACATCAATTATTTTGTTCGGAAGAGAGTGTTTGATTTTTCAAATTCGATTTCTTTTCGCTCTTTAAGATTGAGTTACATGCCTCTCTATATTTCAAATAAGAAATGCACACAGCAAACAAAAGGAACATAGTACATATTTTTCTAATAGTAGTACATTTTTAGGGCAAAAATGTAGGAGGCTTTCTAATTAGAGTTGCTTGCTCAAAGCCATAGGCAATTTCAATTAATTTAGGCTCTGAGCCTTTCAACCCACTAAAACAAGTGCCAATAGGCACCCCTTTGTCATAAGCAGCTGGCACACTAATTGCTGGAAATCCACCAATTGCAAGAACTGCAGCAACACTAGAGCCAGCAGTAACCAATGCATCCAACTTATACTTTTTCATCAACTTTTGGAATCCATTTCTTGTTAATCTTGACAAATTCTTCAAAGCTTTCAATTCTGTTTCCCCAATTCCATTTGTAGATTCAGCTGCCAAAAATATATCTTGACCAAATTCCTTTAGCATCTCCTGAAATGAGAAATCAAAGTTGAGTGACTTTCTGTGAAACTGAAACTTAGTTGGATGACAACTAGTGAAGTTAATTCGGTCAATCTTGTAGATTATTTGATCATGAATAACGTACCAGTTCGGGATTTTTTTGATTGAAGATTATTATATCTGATAAGGATCGAACAGGGGAATCGATTAGCTCTTTTAGATAAACATTTAAGGCTATCTTGAATTCAGCCAATACTGCTGATGCTTCACCACTCAGATTAAAGTCTAAAATTGTCTCAAGGTTGGCTATCATCACATTGTCTACCAAGACTGCACCTTGTAGCCTGCATTTGAGGAAAACAGGAAATTGTCTGAATGTATAACGATCTGTTAAGTAAAATGGTCTTTACACTCCAACATGATATTAAAATAGGCAGAGACTCTCACTGCCATCCGTTATATCTTCATTCTTCACAGATGACGTACCTTTTTAACAAATAATGATATCTTCAGAAACAACTAGCTAAGTTACCTTAGTGTTTGGAGATGTTTCTCAAAAGCTTGAGCGAGGGCAGGATTATTAGTGAAATTGAAGAAGGGGTCTCTCACTATTCCAATTCGCTTGCTGTTAAGGCCATCTACTTTCAGAAATTGAGTATAACCACCACGAGGAATGAATTTAGCTGCTGCAGCAGTTGCAGCTGCGTCATTGTGGTCAAAGCCTACGATGGCATCAAGAACATGAACAGCATCTGCTACTGTTCTGCCAATTGGCCTGTTCAACCAACGCATATGACAAGTTAGTATTGTTGTATTGGTATCATTCAGAAGAAGTATCAAATTAACGGATGTGGATTTAGAATGTGTGTACCCAACAGTGTCTTGTCTAGGTGTAACTGGGATGACCCCTGCTCGACTAGTGAGTCCAACGGTTGGTTTGATGCCTACAACTGCATTGGAACTGGCCGGGCATAAGATTGAACCACGGGTCTCTGTCCCTATTGACACAGATACCATGTTTGCTGCCACTGATATTGCTGATCCACTACTCGAGCCACAAGGGTCCGTGGAGAGAACGTAAGGATTCTGCATAGAAAAAGTGTGTACCGCTCATTAGTTCATTGCATAACTTTCCCATCATAGACTGCTTTTTGGTGGTCTTACTATCGGAAGTATTCTTTTATAGCTGTAGTTGACATATATAACTTACCTTTCCTTGTCCACCTCTAGGGCTCCAGCCATTGGGCGCCTTTAGCGTTCGAGAGTGAGCCCACTCACTGAGGCTAGCTTTCCCTAGTACAATCGCACCAGCTCTTCTCAGCTTTGTCACTACACCCGCGTCACGGGGTATCACTGATCCCAGTAATGAAAATGATCCAGCTGTAGTGTTAAGCTTATCTTTTGTTGCAATGTTATCCTTAAGAAGGATTGGAACACCACGCAACATTGACAAAGAGCTTGCTGACTCGTTCCTCTCTTTGTCAGCCCTGTCAGCTTCCAAGAGTGCATCGGGATTTATCTGTTAAAGACATAATTAAGTAAATAAGAATATATTTTTATATGAGATAATTACACATTTCAACATAATTACCTCAATGACACTTTTGAGAACGGGATTAAGCCGTGAAATTTCTCCGAGGTAGAACTCCACGAGCTGCCTCGATGTAAGCTGGTTTTGGCTAAAAGCAAGGTGCAGATCGGTAATGCTAGCTTCTTTAATCGAGAATGCATGGCAAATATCAATATACGACCATCCAAAAAGTGATATGGCCGTAAGAGTAAGTAATGCGGACAAAGAATAAACATTCATGGCAAGCAGACCACCTAAAAAGTGGATCTAATTGCACTTCACTCTCCAAATTATTTATGATATTTGAGTCCACAGGCTCTTTAAAATCTCTATTGAGTAATTTATGCCGGCAGTATCCGGCAACTGTCTCCTTATATGGAGGTATATTTTAGATCGACTAATTAGATCCTGTGCCTTATTCTTTCTTGAATTAATCAACAAAAGGAATAATTCAGCTGGGTGCTATTATTCTGAAACAGAGAATGAAATCTAGTCATAATAAAGAATGGGTATAGAAGAATAAAAATAATAAAAAAAAAAAATCCTCAACAGGGGATCAGAAGAGAACAATTAAGTGAGAAACAATGTCTCTGAAATTGGGGGGAAAAAAGAAGGAAACTATTTAGCTCAGCTAGTCAAACTTGAAGAAACTGTTTTGACTACGACTAAGAGATTTAGCATTGTGCAGTAAATAAAAGCATTCTATTCTATTAGTTCAACATTGCACCATTAGCTCCACATTCAGCAGCAAGCAACGTTCTTTGCTTTCTTCATTCCAAATATACTCGATCTTCAGGGTAAAGCAATATTAAATTACAGAAGGAGGTCGTCGAACTTTGCTAGATTGCTCAAAGGCATAGGCAATTTCAATCAGCTTTGGTTCAGTACCCTTCAAACCTCCAAAACAGATGCCAAATGGCATGCCATCACTTTCATACCCTGCTGGAATGGTTATTGCTGGGGCCACCTATTGCAAAAACGGGAGAGGCACGACCATTGCATCAAGCTCATGGTGGTTCATCATTTTCTCAAATCCATTTTGTGAAAAGTTTTTCAACTTCTCCACAACTTTCTTCTCTTCTTCTCCATATCCGTCTGTCTTCTCGGCTTCTACAAAAGTATGTTGGTCAAACTCAGCAAGTTGTTCCTGTAATCAAAAGGTTCATTGGACATTTTCATGTTACTTCAAAGTATGTAAACCACAAAAAACAAATGACAATTTTTATTCCACTTCCATCCAACTGTTCCTGTTTCTTGTTATTAGTTTTACTTAATGCCTAAAGACCTTTGTTGCAAAGTAAAGTGCGTACCAACTCAGAGTTGTGTTCATTAAAAGCGATAATGTCGGCCAATGACCTGACAGGAGAAGTAATCAACTCTTTCAGGTAAGCATTGATTGAGCTCTTGAATTCAACCATCATCACCAACGCTTCACCGCTGTGATTTGAATCCATAATCTCTTCAATATGTGGTATGCTCAGGTTGTCTACCAGAACTGCTCCTTCTTGTCTTAAATTCCAACATCAAGTCCACCAAATAATTACAAATAAAACGAACTAAATAGGACTTGTTATTTTTATTTGTGATTTTGCAGATAAAAGGTGACTTTGAGGTAACAAAGCTTCATACCTTAACAAATCTAGGTGATGCTCAAAAGCTGATTTTTCGATTGCTCCATGTATCATTTACACAAATGGGTGTCTGACAATGCCTATTCACTTCCCTTTTAGACCGTCTTCCACGAGAAACTGTTTGTAGCCACCCTCAGGAATATATTTAGCTGCTTCCGTGGTGACTTCATCTCTTGGATCTGATCCAACAATTACATCAAGCATGTAAACTGCATCTGTAACATTCCTGCATATAGGCCTGAATAACAAGGAAATGTTCTGTTTAACACAGCTTCCTTAAAAATTAACATCAATTTCCTGAACACACCTTAACTTGTGCAATGATATGATAACAGAACACTGGTCAGATTTCGGATAATTACTCTTCTACTTCTTGTGTTAATCAGTAGTAATAAATTTAAAGAAAGCAAGTAAAGAAAATACGCTCACCCAACAGTGTCCCAGTGGGGCGTCATTGGTATGATCCCTGCCCAACTTGTGAGCCCAACAGTAGGTTTCAGCCGTACAACTGAGTTATGATCCGCTGGACAGATGATGGAGCAGTGAGTTTCAGTCCCAAGAGAGACTGCTGCCATATTTGCAGCAACAGATATTGCACAGCCACTACTTGATCCACATGGTGATCCAGACGGGCAATATGGATTCTACATATTTTGAAAAGGTAAATGTAATACATTCTTTGGAGGAGCTATTAGATGCTTGTTATGTTAAAAATTGGATAGTTAGTCTTAGGAAGCTCGAAGATGATATATAATACTCTTCCTAGCTTTACCAATAAGAAGATGTATTCAATTCTATACTAATAGTTCTGAAGCATGAAAGATTATCCAGACAAGGAGCTTTAGGCTGGTAATCTGCACAATCTATCGACAAAATATAGTCATCTCCTTTCAGAACTATAGCTTCTTACTCTGTCTACATTCCTCAAATTATTTTTCACGTTTTGCTTTCTTGTTAGCTGTAAGGACTATGTGACACATACGACCAAGGGGTTTCAATCCGGAAACAAAGATTAAGTGATGAAACTAGAACTAGGCTGGAATATCTTTCTCATGTCGCATGCAGCTAGCGATAGACCATAGATTTTGAAAAATTATCTTTAAATATTTTCAAGTTACGAATATCTGGTTAAGACCAATATTTATCCAGTTTTGGGGTCAAAGTTTTTAGGTGTAAAATGCATGTCAAAACACAAGTTCAAAACCTCAAAATTTCAAGTTCCACCTTCAAAATCTATGGGAAGAGAGTATCATCATATATATCAATTGATCAAAGATGTTTCTCTAATAAAGAAATGGAGAAAAAGAGTAACGAACCACTCCTTGTCCAGATCGAGCACACCAGCCATTAGGAACTCCACTGAGAGAACGAAACTCGTACCATTCAATCATACTAGCTTTTCCCAAAATAATAGCACCTGCATTTCTCAATTTCTCCACCACTCCAGCATCTCGCCTCACTTCAGAATCAGATCCCAGCAGAGCATATGAACCCGCAGTAGTATTCAACTTATCCTTTGTCCCAAATGTATCCTTAAGAAGCACTGGGATTCCATGTAACTCCCCTAAAAAGCTTCCAGTTTCACTACTGTCAACTCTGTTTCGGTCAGCCTCATCAGCTGCCTCCGGGTTTACCTCGATAATCCCGCGAAGCAGCGGATTTAGGGTTTCGATTTGGTGAAGGTAAAAGTCGACTAGTTTTCTTGCGGAGCAAATGCGTGGTGGATTTCTTTAATGCTGGTTTCTTCAATCTTGAAAACCGAGCAGTCTTCCATCTTTGTTTTTCTGATTCAAGATAATTAGTGGAGATTTATCATCAACCTCTACTCCCTTGCCATGTGCATGTATGAAGCTACCTTTGCTTGAAGTCTCAAACATAGAGCCGATAGTCTTGGGGATTACTTATTATTTTAAGCTTTAAGCCACCTGTATTTGGTGCCCCAAGAAAATGTTTAAAGTGTAATGTTGACGGATAGGAAATAAAAAAAAACTATAGTTAGCTGTTCATTCAATTTCATCTTTACTATACCTGCTTGCAAACAGAAAATAAAATTGTAATATTGACATTTTGAGATGACCAAAGTGTAATGTTGACAAGCTTATTGTGGGAAAATAAGAGGTATCAAATGAAGTTCCACCGTACGGAAAATTTCAAAGTAGTTCTTTATTTTCATACTGTAGCAATCAACAATGATTTTGGGAATCAATAACATACGATTCCAAAATACTATGACGTACAGAGCAAATGTAGACACAAGTATACGCCAACAACATATTACTAAATAGAGAGTAATATAAACGTGATTAACTCAACTACAAATCAATTAAAAGTACACTAAGAAGTGAAATTAATACTAATAATCACTTGCAAGGATTGAACTTGCAAGTAGTTCTTCCATTTCCAGAATTAGCCCTCAAGAAATTCAAAGCTGTATGCATAACTTGTTGAGTTGATCCCATTAATGCCCAATTCATATGTTGAATAACACTCAATGGATGATATGGAAATTGTACACTGTTATAAGAATTCAAAAGTGCAGTTGTCCCTTCTCTTAACAAAGTTTTATAAGGTTCTCCTCTGCCTTGCATTCCTTCCCATAATGTTATATCACTCCCATATTTTCTAGCAGCAATCAGCCCAAATACAACACCTACTTTCAAATCTGGATTTATTACTTTCCAGTAGCAGCGGTATTCTGGCATCATCCAGCTCCTACAGGTAAAAAGAACGTCACATTTCTATATTTAAAATAATGTAATTTTAACTTTGAGCCTAGTCAAGGTTCTTGTTGTACAAATGTTTTCATTGTGTAACAAAATTGTACTAATTTCTTTATCTGATGTCAATATTTAAACAATGTTTTTAGCCCTGTTTGACTATGCTCCACCGACGCTGGGAAAAAATTTATAGCAACAAAAGTAGTTAAAGATGTGAACACAAATAATGGTCCAGATGTACAGACCCCATAAAGACAATTCCTTTTTAAAGAGAGTAGTTTAGCTATGCATTTACTGCTACAGTGTAAAAGATTTTGCATAACTGTGCATTTAAATGGTTGTAGTAAGGTGTCGTTTGGTAGCTGGTTTGGAGATCAATCATGCATGTATTAAATTCTGCATAAGTGATACCACATTTAGCAGCTAGTTATGAGGTAAATTATTCATGTATAAAATTAATATGGTGTTTGGTTTGCAATCTAAAACCCACATAATATATATATAAGTTACGAGGGAATTTACGTATAATTTTATGCCAGATAGAAGGTGAAATTAGTAATACATGAATAACTAAACCCTTCATAACTAATCACTACATAAAATAATACATAAATTCCCTTATAACTAATCAATATATTACTTATACCTGCATAACTTTAACCAGCTACCAAACGACCCCTAAAAGTGTTTTATATTTCATGTTACTAATCTCACTTTTTAACATATGAATATATCTTCTAGGTGACGTTATCAAGAAAATGTTAGACTTACTGATGTGAGCAAGCTGAAGCATCCAAATAGGGGAAATGAGGCATTGGGGGTAAAGGAGGCCATGAGGGTAAATGAGGCAATGAGGGAGTAGGTGGATATGGAAGTGTTGATGGTGGTGTAGCAGGGGAAACAGGATTGGGGTGTGGCTGTGGGTATGAAAATTTTGGACAGAAAGACATTGGATCTGAAGGCTGAGAAATCAAAGGATCAATTGTGTACATATTCATATCAAACATCCTAAATATTAATCTTGGTGACTTTCCTGGTCCTCCTCCTGTCCCACATCCTCTTTTCCCTTGCTCATTACTGCTTGTAACCTGTGAAACAATAATAACAATTACGTCTCAATCTCAAACAATCTGAGGTGGATCATATGAATCTACATTCATAGTGTCACTTCATTTAAGCTCATCAGTCTCATGCTAATGTCATGACGAGTTGATTTCTCAGATGTTCAGTGTGTTGAAGTAAAATGGAATCAAGAAGAAAAGTGACTTTCTGAGAAATCAACCATCCGTAAAGAAAAAAAAATGAAGTACTTTAGATAAACCTGTGCAACACAGCCACTCAAATCTGGATTTCCATCAAACTTCATGGCAAAATTTCCTAGCCAATTTGTTGTATCTTCTCCCCATGTTGTCATTTGTCCATTGTTGTCTGGGCACGCCATTGCTACATTTATTCCTGCACACAATTTGGCACTCAAAAACTTAAGTAACAATGCTAGTAAGAAGAGGATTCTTTTCGAGTCTAATCAAGATTCAAGACTGAAAAGGGAGCTTTGATGCAATGTAAAGAGTCTTTGTCATAGATTCAAACAGTGGAAAGTAACTCTACCAGAAATGTAAGGTAAAACTACGTACAATAAACCCATTGCGATCCAACCCTTTCCCGATCCTACGCACAGCAGGAGCTTTATGCACTATGTTGCCCTTATAACCAAGATTTTCAAGATTCAATTTTTCTGTTATAATCCAAGAATATCAAGAAGTAGGACAAAACATTGGATAAGAAATATCAAAAAACCCTGTCCATAACGGGAGCTTTCTGCACAGTCCTGCCTTTTAATCAAGATTTTCAAGACTCGATTTTTCTGTTATAATCAAGAAGCAGGACAAAACATTGGATAAGAAGTACCAAAAACAGAGTTGATTATAATGTCATATGGGAACTTAAGTAGTAATTAAATAGTTTTAGTTACCATTTAGAGGATAATCAAAGAGAGAGATTTGGCCATCTTTGCATTGGTCACAGAAGACAGTTCCAGAGACCATAGTATAACCATGAATTCCCCGAATGGCTGCTGCAACAATTAGAAAAGCTGTAAAGTAAAGTTTTTGTGACCAATCCATGATGTTCTTTTGAGTTCTGATGGCAAGAGAAATATGGACTACTTAAGTAGTAAAAGCCAGTAATGGGTTGGTTTCGACTCCAATCTTGAATGTGAATAAAAAAAAAAAGCAGGGCAAGAATTTATGAAGCTTTGTTTATACAGCAACACTCAACTGTCTCAATTAATGAGTTTTTTGAAAAATTGGCAAATACTACATCCTCCCTCCGTTTCAAAATAAGTGTTGTTGTAGCTCATTTCATATTTATTTAAAAAATGTAAGATATAGTTTACTAAGTTACTATATTTTTCTTGATATTTGACCACCATTAAGAAGTATTACTCATAAGGATATAGTATAAAACAGTTATTGTTATTTTTGTCATTGATTTTCTTAAGCCATATATTTATTTTGGGACGGAGGCACAATATGGGTACGGAAATTCATTTAAGACATGGTAAAAATCATTGTGATCCAGCTTTTTATCATGCAAACTAAATCAATTTATTGCAATCACCAACCATTCTTATTTACCATACTGCTTTATGTACAGATGGTACATAATTATAGACATAATTGCAAATTAAACTACTACTCTTTTAGAAACTTAGTTTCATGATCACTTAAATATCCTTCAAATTAATGTATCCATGTGTTTTAGGAACCATGAATATAATTGTTTTTAATTAAAGTGTCAATTTTAAAGATTCTTGATGACCCATTACAACTTAATTGTACAACTACTTTTGGATCAAGCGTTGAGGCATGTACGCAATAACAATTATTCTCTTTTAGGACTTTCGATCACGCGTTGAGAAATGTGGATAGTTGTACTTTTAGGACTAAGTAAGACAGACTTTGAGGGACAAATAGAAATAAAGCTCCCATATTCTTTCTACAATGTACATCATTATTAAGCATTCGTTAAAAATTAAACCAAGAGTCATATGTCTCATGTGACAAGAATTGCTCATAAGAAAATGAATTATTTATTTAATAATACAAATGTGAAACGAAAGAAAGTTGCAATTACAGCTATGACTTTCAAATTGAGGAAACATAAAGTGTAAATATGCAATAATAATAGACAACATCTTGTTGAGTAATGCAGTTTCCAGTTGAACGTTGACAAGCAGAGTAAAAAGCAGGTCCACTTTTGTGTTATAAAGGGATATCCGGTTGATGTGTGTGTAGTAATTATATAATAGTATCTCTTACGGTTGATGGTTAGTTGATTATCTAATTTTTCTTATCAAAATTGTTATTACTTTTCTCTTCTTTTGTTTTAATCAACATACTATTTATTGTTTACTGTTATTTCTTACATTTGATTTTTTTTCCTATACCTAAGTTGATACTTTCTTTTTTAGTCTGTTTCAAAAGAATGATCTCTTTCCTTTTTTGGTAATATTTTAATTTCAGCTTTTCACGTACCATTTTTAAGGCCACAAGACTAAAGAACAATTTTGTATATTTGACATAATTTTAATTTAGGACCATAAAATTTTGAAGGCTTTTTTATTTTCGTAAACTCCGTATCAACTCAAACTAGGTCACTTTTTTTTGAAATAGAGGGAGTATAATATACTTGAGTTGAGGATCTATTAATAAAAGTAGAAATAAAATTACATACATAGCACTCTTTAATTTGATTTCCATTTGTAAATTTACCTTGGTTGATGCATAACATATTAGAGAGCCGTCCGAGTCGTGTTCATGAATAACATTAGCTAAAGAAAACAATAACAATAGAACTACAAATGACACAATGATGTGCTGTCGTACCATGAAAATGTATTATGATTGATAATTAGAGACATTATTACTTAATAGTAATGTAATTAACGTGTCAACACATCGCAAAAGGACTAATCTATCTTTGAAGATAAAATATGTAATCTGAAGATCGCCACGTATCTTGGATAATGAATGGACCTATTTTTTCTTAGAATAAAGTTGTCAGCTTATTTTATATAAAAAATCTATAAATGTTGTAAAATGATAAGGGAAATAGTTGACAATTACGTTTTAGTTCCAATATAGCTTTAGCTTTAGATGTTAGGTGAAATTGTTGCAAATAGTTCTTTAAGAAAATCGAAGTTACAGTTTCTTATCATAATGCCTTTTGATCTCTTGCCGACCAACTCGAAACCAGGGAACACACAGCAAATGATCATGTTGTCCAAAGAATTTAAACTATAACACACATTACCATTTTATTCTAACTTCTTTGATATGTGTTACTCGAACCAAAAACATTTCAAAAACAGATAATATGCATATATTCTATTATCCGATGAAATATTGATATTTTTGTACTAATCATGATATGTTATTAAAAGAAAGCTCATTTAAAGCTTAACCTACTAGAGACAAAACGTTAGTATTTCTTAAATTTAAAGTCTAGAAGAAGCAGAGTGAAGAGACGAGAGTTCAATAAAGATGAATCTTCATTCCAGTTAGAATTTAGAACATCTATTTTATACTAACAAGAAGAAGAACAGAACATGATAAGAAATACGGAAAAAGTCCAAAAAAAAATTAAGTGTGATCAAAAATCAAAATCTATCATCTTTAACAGTCTTTATCCCCTTTGTGTTCCACACCTAAGAATGATGCTTAAGAACAAACAATTCTAAACTGAGTCAACAGAAAAAAGAACAAACATAAATAGCAAAATGATAATGTTGGTGTAGGTACACAGAAAACAAAACACTAAGAATAACAAGTTCTATCAAAATTGCCTCAATGCTTCGCATCACATGAATCTATTTCAAACTCTGAAGGAAACATAGCTCATAAACTTTTACTTCCTTTGGCATCATATTTGTGGCTCACCACCAGATTCAGCAGTTTCCTTTACAGTTTCTTCAACAGCCCCGTTTACAGTTTCCTCAGCACTACAACAAAACATTACAAAAATGAGTGTCAGGAACCATGTCATTTAGGTACAAGACTGGTGCACAATCAGCAAAGTATGTAAAACCCAAAGCTGCGGCTCAAACAAAACAGAGGAACAAGAGAGAAAGTTCCCCCGTCCACAGCATAATCGACCCAATCCTATCTGACTCCAAGTTGACTCCTTGCCAGAAAATGCACTAACCAGAAGCAAGAATCAGCACATCAAGCATTTTAAAGCCTCATTCTTTTCACAAGTTAGTTAGAGTTTGTACAAAATCATATGTATACATTTTGCATCCAAACCCCCACTTTATTACCCTAAATTAGGAGGAAATGCATCGAATACAAATGTTCCTCTGAGGCCAATACATGGGAAAAAGGGGAAGGCAGCTTTTTACTGCATTGCTCGACACCAAGGTTGTTCACTAAGTCCTACCAATGAGTGTCAGGTCCAAGAGCTGGTTAATAATCATTCAATATCAAGCAAGCAGATAAAAAACTAGTGTAATCGATGGCTTTACAACTACACTTGGACTATGTGAATACACAACTACATCATACTTGGTACACACCATGCTCTAGCATATGGGAGTATAGGGAGTTAGATTTAGGGAAATTCAGCAAACAATAAAAGTAAGCTTAACATAACTTGTTAAACCCCTAAACAAGGCTACACAAATATCTATAACCAATTAACTAGTCACAGAATGTTTTGCGAATAGAAAGCAGTAATAATCCATGAAGTCACGAAAAATTAAACAGAAGTCAACATACGACAAGAGTTGATAAATCTAGAATCTAACATAAGAATCCATCAGACCTGGAAGGAGGAACTTCATTCAGCTCGGGCTTCCTCCAACTCTTCTCGGTCTTGTCCTCGCGAAAAATCAGCTTCCCGTTAGGACTCCCCCAAGCTTTCTTTACAATCGGAGCACCATCAATGGACTCAGAAGCCTCCTTTACCTTCAAAGACTCAATCTTTTGGTCAATCTCCTTCCAATCCTGTCCCTTCTCCTTCAATACCTCCTCTCTTGGTCTAGCTGCCCCAAATGGATTAGCCCCTTTCGGCTTCACCACAGGGACAGGCACAGGCGCAGGCTCATTACCGTTCTGCTGTCCTTCACTCAACGGCAATGTCCTTGGTTGCAAATTCAACTTTGGCCTACCACCACCAGCAGAAACTCCGTTCTCTTCTCTCTTCTTCCCCCAATTTTCTGAATCCACGCCACCGTTGGAATCATAGCCGCCCCTTCTTTCTCTTAAACTGTCGAATGCACCGCCACCGGAGGCAAATCTCCGTCCACCTTCCTCTTCCTTCCTTTTGGTCCACCGATCCGAATCGGAATCACTTCCGTTTGACCCAAAACTCCCTCTCCTATCAAATCTTCGACCAGAAGAGGGTACAAAAGCTTTATTCGCTGCCCAATTATCAGATTCATCAACTTTAGACTGGGAATCGGAGAAAAAACCTCCCCTTTCACCTCTCTCCCCCCTTCTTTCAAAACCATTACCAGCCGATGTTTTCTTAGCTGCACCCCAATCATCAGTCTCGTCGGCACGAGAGGGAGCAATTTCCCTATCGGTATCCCTTCGGAACCCTCCCTGCCTATGAGAATCATCCGACGAACCCCTCCCCCTTTACCTGTCGTAACCGTACAATCTGAAACCACCTCCGAGTCGAGACTGGCCAAGTTCCTCCGCAGTGCGCTCGCGAGGACTGGTAGGGAGCATCAAAACTTTATCCGGTGTCAAGCCTTTGGTTGCCACAGTGGCGGCAGTTTGAGATTACTTAGCAGCGCTATAAGTGTTGAACTCCTGAAGGGATAGGGTTTGTGGCTTCTTCTTCTTCGTTTTGGTGGTGGCAGCAGCGGCCAAAGATGGAATTGTCGTAACCGTACGATCTGAAACCACCTCCGAGTCGAGACTGGTCAAGTTCCTCCGCAGTGCGCTCGCGAGGACCGGTGGGGAGCATCAAGACTTCCTCCGGTGTCAGGCCTTTGGTTGCGGCAGCGGCGGCAGTTTGAGACTTCTTAGCAGCGCTATAAGTGCTGAACTCCTGAAGGGATAGGGTTTGTGGCTTCTTCTTCTTCGTTTTGGTGGTGGCGGCAGCAGCCAAAGATGGAAAATCGGCAAGGCCACCGGCACCGCCGCCATTGGAGTGATTTTCAACCTTCACTGACTCTTCCTTTTGAAGCTCCAACTCGTTCTCCTCCGAATCAAGTGCCCACGCGCCTGGTTTTGCCCACGCGCTCACGGTTGCCGCCATGTTTGCTCTTTGCTATTGCTGTTTGGACTGTTTATCTCTGTGTAGGTTTTTTTTGAGAGAATTCGCTTTCGTTTCAAGCGAACAAATAGGGTTTTTTTAATATACATATAAGAGGATCCGTTGATTTAATCCAACGGGTAAACGTTCGATAAGAAACGATTTTACGGAATAGATTCGTTTTGATCAACGGTGGAGATTAACTCCTTCATCTGAAAGGAAAAGGACTTTGCGTTGATTATATAATTTTTTTTATTTTTTATTCAAGACGTGTAAATGTGTAATTGTAGACCACAAATATTGCATTCCATATCTTGGTGTAATAACTAAGAAATTACAGGTAATCCTCATAATAATTTATTGATGAGTAGAAAATAAAGAGGGAAAAGGAAAACCACCAAGTAGAAACACTTGAAAAAATAAGAAAGAGTGTTATGAAAAAAAGAAGATAGTGAGAGCTTGTGCTAGGATTTATCACAGTTTTTAGGGCAATAGGCCTCTTTTATACCGATTTAAGACTGATAATATAAAACAAGATTATACCGATTGAATTTAGTAAGAGGTTTAATGATTTATTAAATTCCTTAATAATAATTTCGTCAAGCTTTTGCAATATGTTGAGTATCTTGTTACTCTTACCAAACTAAAAATTATTAAATTGAATTCACAAATAGTAAATAGAGTCTAATACATAGTGATAGTAATTCATAATCTTATCATCAAACGACAATTACTAATTATGATTGAGTCCTAAAAATATCAATTACAAGGAAAAATATTATGATAGTAATTGTCTAACTATGAGAATAATTTGTCTACAAAAAGAACAAATTTACTCTTAGATGTGAAATTAATTAGCTCACCATACAAAATATGAAACAGATTTTAAAGAGTGACGGGTCAAGAACTAAGCAGGGTCGGGTCATTACCCGTCAATAAGCAGGCCAGATTTCCAAATCATGAACTCCGAAAATACATGATCTAACTTACTGCTGTAACCTTCTTCACTATGCAACATTCTCACACTAAAAAACTCCTAATATGTCTGCACCAATTTGGTGGCACAATAAATTACAACATGAATCAACTAAAATACTCTACACAACCAACTGAATGAAGAGACATCACCGGGTATGTACAAACCTCAATTTGAACAGCAGCTCAGCAAGGATCCATGCCAAGCTTCAGTTACAAGGTGACTTCAACTCAATAGCCTTTCCCAAAATTGTGCTTGTAGAAGAACTCATCTCCCAGTTCTAAAGCTCAACATTGCTGAGCTTAAGCAAGAATGCTCAAAAATCAAGCATCAGCAACTTTTGCAGTCGAAATATAGAATGTAGATCTATGAGATGATATCAGCGGAAATAGTTTGAATCATTCAACATTATGTAATGTCCATCCTCCATAACTTTTATATCTTCTCCATCATACCACGATATATTTCCTGCATAAACCAATGTATTATAAGCACAAACTTGCAATACTTTTGAGTCGTATAAATATATTGAGGCTTCAATTTGGAGTTCCAAGTCTAGCTTCTACAGAAGCATTTCCAAGAACATAAAGTATACTCCAGACCTGAGCTTCTACTGAAAGTTCTATAACATCAAAATTAATGCCAGCAAGTGCTTAAAATTTCTGCCAATCACAAGCTCAAGGGAGTCATTGGTCCCAATGTCAATGAAAGGATGCTAATGTGTCACATGATGGAAACGCATGCTCTTTTAAGATGTTTAACCATAGAACCAAGTACCCAAAATTAGAAGAGCATGTGCACCAATTAAGAAAAATTAGAGCAGCTAATCTCACTATTTCACCATATGCTGCAGCGTAAAGATGTGTGCTCCTTTTGTGGTCTAGCCCCATAACGAGAAGGAATAATCATGGTGAAAGGTCGACTAAAATCAGGCGGAGTACAGGTTCGATTATTTTATTTGTGTTCCTTACCATCTTCATTGAAATCAGAAAAACACAAAGTAACCAAATTTAGAAGTTTCATTGAAAATAAGTAGTCAAATTGACCTAAACTAAAATAGGATAATTACACCCAAATCAACATATGTTTTTAGGTATTGCAGACATACAGATCCAATGCCATACATTTTAAAAGATTTTAGACTGCATGATATCAAGGATATACATACATCAAGATGAGAGACATACGACTTATATAGCTAGCTGGGTAGCAGGCACATGCTTCAACTACAATCTTTACCTGGTGGATTTGCTGGTTCTTGTTCTCTAGTCAGGTGGAGTAAAATTGTTCCTGAAAGAACTGTGATAAATCCACAGATCTCAGATACTATGCTACTAGCATCTTGCCCAGCCCAGTCCTGCAAAGAAATATAACAAAGCAAATGATGGGTTCACAGCCTTTACTCTGTATACATATTAATAGAGGACCACAACAAAGAATAGCTTCAAATTGATAACATACCTTGAACATTATTGCGCTTGCGATGATGGTCAAAGTGGTGAACATTACATAATATATTGGAGAAACAATTGCAGCATTGAATGTATCCAGTGCCTATCAAAATGATGCATAAATGTTAGAAAATGCTTCAGACACTCCCCCCCACCCCACCCCCAAAAAAAAAAAATTCATGTGAATAATCCTGAATATCATGCATATCGCTAAATTGCAAAACCAAAAATTAAGCATAATAGCATGCACTGCCCATTTACTGCACTTTGTAATGGTCAAGGAGCATCTCAAGGTTCATGTAATAAGGAAAGTTTTAATGTGAAGCAGCTTTTTGCTAGATTCCCAACCAGAGCACTTGTTTCAGATATTAAAACAGCTCACATATCACACAAGAAAGAGCAACAAGTTTATTGCCAAATCACAAAAGTTGAAACACAGATAGAATGTAAAGACTTGGCAAATATTGTAGCACTGTTGGTATCAAGTATTGATTCTCTGTTTTATATTCGTGTCATTCACAAAAAATACTCTGCAAGAATTGATACCATTACATGGATATCATAAAGACAAATAACTACAATAGGAGTAACATTCAAATTCAGAGGAACTGACATCATATATACACATGACGTATGGTCTGAGCTAGTCCTGTATATAGGCAGTTGTTTTAGAGAATTGGGAATTCACGCTAGGAAAGGCAATGCAAATGACTTATCAGACGGATTACAGCAGATCTCAGTCAAGCTGGAAAGTATTATGCCATTACCCTGTTTAGATAATTTAACTGCGTGATGACACAGATTACTGCAACAGCTAGAAAAAACCAAGTCTGCGGATAGGCAATCTGACTAATTCCTTCCAAAGTAAGTTTTATTGCAATTCCAATAGCCTTTATGCTGACAACCTGCAAATACAATAAATTAATAGAAAGCCACAGAAACATCTTGACGGGCTTGGAAAGTGTTCACGTCTGCAAAACTGCATTATGTCCAAGAAGAACGTAGCGTACAAATTCTAAGTAGGAATAAAGATGATGACTTGAAGAAGCCTAGAAGAAAACATAATTACCGTAAGTGCACCCATTAAGGAACATATTCCCAAATATATCAGCATGTTTGTCTGCCCATAACGAGGTTCATAATGAAACATCAAAGCTGCTACTATGGATATTGTTGCTGCCACATAAATCACAAATGCTGCAGACAAAATCAGAAGGAGAAATTCGTAATGAGCTCAAAGGAGAGAGAAAAATCATAACCTATAGCAAGATAAACAGGAAAAAACACTAAAAATTCAGACCTGGTTGAATTGCCAAAATCCAGATTTCTTGTATAGAAGTTGGCATATGCTCCTGAGGTGCATGTATAACAATTACCACAGATCCTACTATGCACAATATGCATCCCACTACACCTAATCGTTGTAGCCGTTCCCTCAACATAAAGTGTGCCAAGACAGCACTATTCAGATTCACCAAGGTTAGTTATGGAAACATCAGCAGGAGTTCCTTGACAGAGTTTCAAAACAGCACATAAGACTTCAAAATCTCACCTGATAATTATACTCAACGCACCAAGTGGGGTCACAAGAACAGCTGGAGCATAAATATAGGCCACAAAATTGGAAACCTCCCCAACAATCACTGCGTATCCAAATCCAAATGTCATTAAGACCACAACAATACTAATGCATATTTAACCTGAATGAAGTTTACTCGTGGAGACAACTCATGATGCACTTACTTGTAATCATGCCTGCCCACCAAAGGGGTTCAAGCAAATAAGTATAGCCTCCAACTCCTGCAGTGAAGATCACAGTCACCAATAACTGTTTAACCAGGCGAATTGAAATTGACAAAGTATACAATAAGGAAAAAGGATACGAAAGAAAATGTTAAAGTTATTTTGCCAATTAAAGTACTAAATGGAAAATTGACACGCTAGACTGCAGTCTGAAAAACAAAACAGTATAAACTTTCAAGCAAAATATGCTCCGCTACAAGTACAGCCATAGATTACTCCTTGTGAACTCATAAGTACTTCATGGATAAAAGCTTCTGCTTGCACGATAATGTCCAACCGAAAAATGGTTCTTCTCATATTATGTAATGGATTGGCAAGATCATGAATAAGAATAGAAGCTGTTCAAACTGGCGTTGCAAAAATTTAATCAGCTAGAAAACTAAGTATTATTTATCAATCTTCCTACTCATGGTTTAAATTAAAGTAACTGACAATGGGGTTAGAAACGTGAATGTCAAGGATCCAATTCGCCAATTCACATCATGTAACCTCTAAACAGAAAAAGAATGGACCTAATGGGGTTAGAAACGTTGTCAACAGACACGGCAGGAAAACGTTAAGATGAATAGTTTGCCTTTAGACCTCATATTTGATACTTTAGCATTTCCTGTCCATTTCCAAATATTGGATTTCTAGATTTTTTCTTTTCTTTTCATGTGTTCCATCCCCCACTTCATTTCTGTTTCCAACACATGCCTGAACAGTAAGACCTGACTGAAAGTGATCCTTAAAGAAATTGAATCCACCACCGAAATGAGCAAAATCCTAGTAAACTTAGCTCTAGTTGTATGTCAGTAGCACTGTTTACCATACGGTATCTACCAACCCAATTAAGGAACAAAGAACTGTACACCCTTAAAAAAGATTGTCATGATCAATCAAAGTAGAACCAACATAAATACAACAAATTGAACAGAACAGTTCACCCTATATTGAAGATATACAATGTCATAAACATGCTTAGGAATTAAGTACTATATAGAATAACAACATACACCAAATAATGAATTTTAAATGCAGTACACTCTTTCACTAATATAATTTTGCCCTTGTGAGTTTCACAACGCATATCTGGTCCTAAGCCATGATAAAGGAGGAGGGATGGTCAGTGTGAAGTAATCCGACTATAATGAATCTTTTGAATATCGAACAGGCCTCAATTTAGAGGAATGGATACGGCGGTTCATAAGCCAAATAA